TTCATTCAACTTTGGGAATTCATATGTATCTAGGAATCTGTCCATTTCTTCTATGTTTTCCATTTTATTAGAGTACAGGTTCTTGAAGTAGATATTGATGATCCTCTGGATTTCTGCTGGGTTTGTTGTGACTTCACCTTTTTTGTACTTAATTCCATGGATTGGAGCCTTTTCTTTCTTTTTTTTTTTTTTTTTTTTTTTTTTTGATATGGTTGGCTATCAATTTTATTTATTCTTTTGAAAAACCAACTCTGAGTCATTGATTTTTTTGTATCGTTCTTTTAGTCTCCATTGCATTGATTTCTGCTCTGATCTTTATAATTTCCTCTCTTTTAAGAGCTTTGGGTTTGTTTTGCCCTTCTTTTTCTAGGAGCTTAAGGTTCACCATTAGCTTGTTTATTAGAGCTGGCTCAGTTTTCTTAATATGGGCATTCACTGCTATGAATTTCTCTCAGAACTGTTTTCATTGTGTCCCATAGATTCCTATATAGTGTACTGGCATTATCATTTCCTTGTAGAAGCTAATTTCTTTAATTTCCTCTGTGACTCATTGGTTGTTCAGGAGGGTGCTATTCAATTTCCATGTGTTTGTGGAGTTCTTGTGGTTTCTCATGCTATTATTGATCTCCAGTTTAATTGCACTATGATCTGATAATATACAGGGGATTACTTCAATTTCTTTACATTTACTTAAACGTGTTCTATGAGGTAGCATGTGGTCTATTTTTGAGAATGACCCATGTCCAGCTGAAAAAAATGTATATTCTGATTTTGTGGGGTGGAACATTCTGTAGACATCTATTAAGTCCATTTCTTCAAAAGCTTGGCTCAGTTCTGTTGTTTCATTGTTGATTTTTTGTCTAGATGATCTATGTGTTATAGTAGGGTATTGAGGTCCCCCATTACAACTGTATTAGTTCTTATTTTGTTTTTCATGTCCATTAATATTTGTTTTGTATAGTTGGGGGAATTAGTATTTGATGCATATATATATTTATGATTATCATCTCTTCCTCTTGGATTTTTCCCTTTACAAGGATGTAGTGGCTTTCTTTGTCTCTCTTAATTAGTTTTAGTTTGAAATCTATCTTCTCTGCAACTAAGATTGCTACCCCTGCTTTTTTCCAAGTTCCTGTAGTGTGGAGAACTGTTTTCCATCCTTTTACTTTCAGTCTGTGAATTTCTTTGTGAACTAACTGGGTTTCTTTTATGCAGCATATTGTTGGATTTTGCTTCTTAATCCATTCTGCCAGTCTATTTCTTTTGATTGGTGAGTTGAGGCCATGAACATTGATGGGTATAACTGATATGCATTGGGTTATCCTTGTCATGTTATTTTCCTGTTATTGGCTCTTTTATTGTTTATCCCCCCCCCCATTTAATTTCTTGTCTTGCCTGGTGGATTTGCTCTGATGGGTCTTATGGAGTTGTGACCTTCATTTTCTTTTTCCAGGATTTTTTTTAGAATTGTTTTGGAGTGCTGTTTTGGTTTTCATGAAGTTCCTGAGGTGCTCTTTGTCATGAAAGTATCTTATTTCCCCATCAATTTTAAAAGGTAGTTTTGCAGAATACATCAGTCTAGGTTGGAGGTTGTGTTCTTTTAGGGTTTGAATACCTCACTCCAGGCTCTCCTGGACTTGAGGGTTTGTGTTGAAAAGTCTGCTGAGATTCTCATGGGCTTCCCTTTGTATGTGATTTGTTTCTTTTCTCTTACTGCTTAGTAGTATTTTGTTCTTCTGTTGGGTTTCAGAGAACTTGATTATTATATGTCTAGGTGTAGATTTTTTTTTATCATGGCTAGTTGGAGTCCTGTGTGCCTCACTCATCTGTATGTCAAGTTCTTTCGCTCTGTTAGGGAAGTTTTCTGTCATTACTTCTGTGAACAGTTTTTTAATGTCATTTGTACTGTCACCCGATTTTTCATGGATTCCTATCAGTCTTACATTATTCTTCATCTAGGAGCTGTTGGATCGATTTCTCATGGTCCCTTATTATTTTTAAGAGATCTCTCTTTTCTATATCTGATATTCTGTTTTCACTTTTGCTCATTCTGCTGCAAATGCTTTCAATATAGTTTTTAATCTCCTGGATATCTGTTTCAATCTGTTTCATGGATTCCATTTCTTTCCTATGTTGGGGATTCATGGTTTCTATTTCTTTCCTATGCTGGGCATCCATGCTTTCCAATCATGGTCCTGAGCTCATCTATTTTTTCATCTCTTTCTGTTCTAGAGTCTAGTCATGTTTTTCATTCTGCTCACCATCTCTGTAGTTATCTGGGAAATTATTTCTGTTTTGAATTATTCTAGAGCTTCATTCACCTGTTTTGTTACTTCCTGTGCCATCAGTGTAGGTTGTCCAGGTGATTATCAGATTTTTCCACCTCGTTTACCTCCGAATTTGCCTTTGGTGAGCTGGTAGCCTGATTTTGCTTAGGTATCTTCTCATTTTTATTTTTGTTGTTGGTACTGTTTTTGGATCAATTCCTGGGTTGATACTTCCATATTGCTTATTGTAAGTATCTTTGTTGGTTGTATTTAGAACCTTTATGAAATGATTGTTTCCCAGAAGTGCCTTCCAGATATATCTGGCCTTTAGATTTTGAGTCTCTAATGACTCTTAGGCCATCACGTTTTCATTTTACCAGTAAGGACAACTGATTCAATCAATCATAATACCTTAGCCCAAGTGATACAATCATCAACAACAATAGCATCAAACACAGTTTAGAAAATGACAATTTGTGGTAGTTATTAATCTATTACTTAAACATGTTAATTAAATCAAAATCGAGGACCAGCCCAAAATATGTCTATAGTGAATAAACTCTTCAATATAGCAACTTTACCCTTCAGGATGGGGACTTAAAAGGAGTTGGGGAGGGAGGGAATAGATAGATATGATAGCTTAGAAATGAGGCCAGAGGGTAGAGGAAGATCACCTATAGGAAGCTGTTGTAGAGAAGAGGAGAAGACAGAATGAAAGAACAAACACAAAAACAGAACAACCAAACAGCAATAGGGAGGCTAGAAACTGTATTCACTTTCCTTTAAAACTAGTTACAATCAAGAGAAGGAAAGAGAAAAGAAAAAGTAAGAAAAAAAAAGAAATTCGAATTAAGACAAGAACAGGGATAAAAAGAGAGAGAAATGAACAAGGTGGGAGAGAGAGCAAAAGAGAAAGGAAAGAAAAGGAGAAAATAAGGGAAAATTTGAAAAGAGAAAAGAATAAATAAAAATTAGAAAAAATATTAAAAATAAGAGAAAAAATTATTTTGAAGATAAAAAAATAAAAGTAAAGGACCCCCTTTACGGTATGCCTCTGCTGTCAGTATAGACAGCGTGGGCACGAGTGTGCAGGTGTAGATCAATTAGTCTCAGCAAGCCAGCAGCTGTCCCCTGAGGTTCAGGGTTATTTCTGCCTGTAAGGCCCAAGTTGAGATCTCTGACCTCTTGCTGAGTTGAATGCTCCAAGGTTCTACTGCAGGTTCCAGCTGCCCTTCCCCTGAAGATAGTCCAGGTTCCGATGGGAGGTGGTGTTCCATGCACCTTACCAACTACCATGGTCTTGTGTGCCTTTATTGCAGAGATTTTCTTCACTTTTCCAGTAGTCTTCAATTTTCATCTAGGAGCCTCAGAGGCCCTCTTTCTCTTGTTCACTTCTGTTCTATCTTCTGGCATTCGGATCAATGTCTTTTCTCACCCACTGCCCCTCTGTGGTGTGGATCCAAGTGCTGGCTTGGCCCCGTAGCCAGAGGTGGGGGGAGGGCACATAGGCTCCCATGTGACTCCACTCCTCTATGCTGAAGGGGCGGGGCCACTGGACATCTCATGCACTGCTCAGAACCTCCATTATAAACTTCTCTAGTTTTTTTTTTTTTTTTTTGAGACAAGGTCTCACTGTGTAGTTCAAGCTGGCTTTGAAATCTCAGAATCCTCCTACCTCAGCCTCCCAGCATGCTGGGATGACAACTGTGCATCACTGTGCTTAGCTAGGAAGGAGCCTCAATGTCTTCTTACACACTGAGTTTTTTAAAAAAATGTTTGAAAGAACAGGAAGTGCTACTGATGTCCAAGGAAAAGAGTTTTGGTGGGAACAAGGGGAGGGGAGAATTAAGAAAGGAAGTTTGGGATCCCAGAGGTCTGTACTGTTATTAGGAAAGCTGGCTAGCAAGTGGTCTGTGGACACTGAACAGAAGAGAGAATCTGAAGAGCTTGGTACTTGCTGTTGTGATGTCACCTAAGGGTGGCTCAGTTAGACCAGGAAAGTAAATGAACAAGGAGTAGGCCTATATTGAAGACCAGTTTCCTCAATGTTAAAATATATCAGGAAGGATATATTTTTAACAGTGTAATTAAAATCATATTTCTAGTGAAAAGGTAGAAATGTTGATCAATGGTAAATCATAGAAGGGAGTATAGATGTGGGGATGCAGCAGGATATGTTTATTCCTGGAAAACAGAACAAAGCAGGAAAAAGTAGTGTCTCACATTTTTTACAAAGTTGCTTTTGCTTTGTTTTATTATTTCTTCAATGATAAGTTCTAGGGTCGTGCAAGCTGACCACCTTGGCTGCAGAATTTAAGGAGACACCCAACTCTCTGGCTCATGTGTACCTCTGCTACCTTGAAAATAAATATCTCTTATATTTACTTTTTTGTAGATACCTCCCTTTTAAGAAGCTCTCAAAGAGTCCTTTACTTTTTGATCTTGCCTTGAATATGTGCACAATTTGTACTATGAATGTACAAATTCCCCCAAAGGAACATCAACTAGGGGAGGCTTGGCTTCACCTCCACTAGTTCTGTTGTTCCTTCAGGGGCTATTACACTTACGTCTTCCACTGAACATTTTGTATTTTTTCCACAGAGAGATCCTGTGCCCTGCTGTTGTTTGTAACTATTTTTCAGCCTAGTGCTTAAAATTACCAGAAAATTTGAGAGAGCCCCTCTGATTGGAAATATTAACATATTGCTATCTTTTTCCTCAAGCAAGTGGCTGCCAAAGATTTGTTGGATTTGAGGAGTCCAGGATGTGCTGACCAGTTCTGTCTGCATGGACTCTCCTTGTGTCTCTGATGCATCACTGTAGACACTGAGCTTACCAAGTGTACCTGCTCCAAAACAAGAAGGAAGCCTGTCTGTCTCTTCCTGTTCAGAGTACATGAAGATATTCCACATTTAGCACAAGCTTCAGCTAGGAACTCCATCCAGGATGTCCAAAAGGTGCAGGCTCCAGTTACAGCACAGCACAACAGAAGATTCCTATTGTGAGACACACCTGGAGCCATTAGAGCTGTTCTGTGATGATGACCAAGTCACACTGTGCAGCAAGTGCCTGCAGGCACAGGACCATGAGCACCATGCGGTATATAGTGTACAGGTGGCTGCTGAAAAGTACAGGGTAGGTTTCATGAAAATCTCAAAGCACTGGGGCCAACTCCTTTGATGGATTGGGCAGATATTCTGATCCTCCAAAACCATCCCCTTTGTTAATGTCTATTAAGAAACACCAAAAAAATACCATGCTTAGTCAAGACTTAAACATCAAAGCTATGAAAACATATATTCATCCCTACTAGCTCTTTAGCCCAGTTATTCTAAAGCAATTAACTTTCCTGGAATTCTGTCATGTATTTCTCTACAGAAATTATTCCAAGAAATATTGAATCTACTGAGGGAGAAAGTTGAAGTCGCTAAAAGTATATTGGCTGATGAGCAAGAAAGAATGATGATGATTCAGGTCAGTGCTTATCTTGATTCTTGGAGGAAATTATCAATAATGCTGGATAACAAATAATAGCTCGTAAACAATGTTGAAAGGCAAAACCAGAAAGTGACAAAACAGGAAGCATTTGAAATCCAGGGGGTGTGAAGTGCTGATATGATAAAGAGCTCTTAGAAGTCTATTAGAGAGCTGGGTGAGGTGGCACACACCTGTAATCCCAGCACTTGGGAGGCTGAGGCAGGAGGATCCCTGCAAGTTTGAGGCCAACCTGAACTAAATATATCGAGGCCCTGCTTCAAAAAAACAGAAACAAAAAGTTTGCTGGAAATAAACTAGAAATTCAATAGAAAAAATGATCAAAGACTTAAATTTTGGAGAAAAGAAAATACAAATATCCTTTTTCACCTTTGTAATATTTTTCTTTCATTTTTTCTCTTTTTCTTCTTGGTTTTGTTTTGTTTCTGTTATTTTTGAAAATATGTTTTAAACATCCAAAAAGATTTTGAACTTTGCTCATAGTAAGAGCAAGTAAAAATTATATTAAATAGTGATAATGGTATTTGCAAGTCTTGTTGGCAAAGATCAAACATCAAAAAGATTTAATACCACAGTTTATAATAGTGGCATAGGAAAATGAGCATCTCAGGTGTTTTTGGTGGCCATATAAACTGTGCAGCCCTAAAGGGCAATTAGGAACTTCCATCCAAATTGAGGGCTCTCCATCTTCTGTTCACGTTTCATTTCTCATTTCAAATCATGTCTTCAGATTTAACCCCATTCTGTTCCAGATGTTTCAAATTCTGGGTCTTTTCTCTCAACTTTTAGAGAGTATACCTGTCCATTTGGAGGTAATAAGGGAGAATAATTACCTAGATGTGTAATAACTTCTCAATCAATCCCCATTTTTTCAACCCCAAACACTATATATTTAACAAATATTGATGTCCACTGTTTACCAGGGAGTATGCAAGTTTCTGGGTAGTTGGCATTGAAAAAGCAGTTTGATTATGAAATTTCATATGGACATAAACAAAATAAATTACACGTGTAATATTTTACCCAGTAATTCCTAGAAGGAGGTTAAGGATTAAACACCCTGTAAGGGTCTTCCAGGCAGAGGGAATCAGCAGCAGTACAAAGTCAGAGATACTGTCCTGTACTTGGCTGAGGCCCTGAGAAGGAAAGTGCATGCTGCAGATAATGAGATCAGAAGATAAAAGGTCTAATAATATTGGACATTTAAAATAAAATAATGAAATCACAAGATGGCATTGTAAGAGAATAAAAGCACTTGGGGAGACCTGAAAAGAAACTTTGCAATAATCAGGACAGGTAATGGTGAACTGATAGTACCTGAGGTGTTAAGCAATGGCCAGATACTTAAACTTTTATTCCATTGAATCTCATAGGATTAAATAGAAAATTTATATCTCCCAAATTTATATCTCTCACCTAGATTTCCAATGGAATACTTTCAGTCCTGTTCCTACTTGGCATCTCTCCTTGGATGTCTAATTGACTAACTGAATTTATCGTATCCCAAACTGAGTTCCTGATATACTCCCTACTGTTAGAAACTAGACTTTTCCATTGTTTCTCTTCCTATATTTTGGTAATTTTTCTTCCTATTCATAGTCTAAAAGCTGTGGGGTCTTCCTTCCTGAATCCATTTTCCTACGCTCACCATCTAACATGTCAGCAAATCTCATTGGCACCACTTTTTAATTTAAAAACTGTGTTGATGTCTTGGCTAATCTTGAATCAGATTTTCTTTGTCCTTCGGATTTATGTCCTTTATTTTTTCCCCTGTACTTTCTTGCCTTGCATTGTCTTTCATTATGGTTAGAGATAGAAATAGGTTATGTATTTGTGGTCTGTCATATTTAATCTAAAATTCATTATGTTGATATTTGAGGAAGGAAGAGCAGCGGAATTTTAAAGTGATAATTGAGTCTGAATATAGGATAAAGTTCCAGCTATTGAGAGAAGAGAATGAGATGAAATTTCTGAGACTCCAAGGATGCAAATTTGACTTGAACATGAGAGAAGCTAATCAGAATCATTTGATGAGACTTGCTACAGAGGTAGAGGAGAAATCCCAGAAAATGCTACAGGTGAGATATTGAAAATCATATCTTTATAATATTTGGGTAATTAGAGAAAGAAGAGCTAAACATTATGTCAGTTCCAGAATAAGATATCCAGTGACAACTACAAATTTATTAAATGTATGTGTGTAATACCTACCTAACAATCCTGTTTCTTTGAACTTACTATCACACCCATGTAAAGACACATGGATATGTAAAATATACCTATAAGATTATTTGTATACATATATTACAGTATTATTCTGCAAATATACTTACATCCATATGACAATACACATGGACAAGGCAGCACTATAAAACTGAGTTTCCGTTTAGCAGTTAACCTTTGAAGCCAGGTTGATGGAGTTCTTATCTGAATTCTACTTTTTACTGTCTCCTGAGTGGTTTCGGACCTATTGCTTAATATCTGACGCAGTTTCTTTAGTTGTAAAATGGAGACTACAGTAGCCCCTATTTCGTAACACTCTTGTTAGTTTTAAGTGACATGATCTGCAGAAAGCTCCCTAAATAATGTCTTAAAATTTTAAAATAATCAATTAGTAGACATTTTTATTGTTGTTGTAACATTTGTTCATAGTAAGAGATTAGATTCAATCTATATCTGTCAATGAGACTCACAAATTTTGCTACATATATAATACAGCATACTCTTTACCATGAAGAGAAGATAGAGTTCTATGTATGTATGAATTAGGAACACTCCCCAAGACAAAAACTAGTTGTCAGATTAGTGGAAGATACTGTAGTCCTATATGCATTATTTATATTTTTATCCTTGTGTACTCATGTGACTACATGGAGTACCTTTGGAAGAGTGAAAAACTGGCAGCCACGGTGGCACACAACTGTAATCCCAGCACTCTGGGAGACTGAGACAGAGGATGGCAAGTTCAAGCCCAGCCTGGGCAACTTAGTGACTTAGCTCTTGTGTCAAAAATAAAGAATAAAAAGAAGGATTGGGGATGTAGCTCAGTGCAAAGGTCCTAGGTTCAATCCTTAGTTCTGCAAAACAAAAAAACCCAAACAAACAAAAAAAGAAGGAAACTAGTACCAGTGGCTTAATTATTTAAATTTTATTATTTATTGAT